TAATCCATAAAGATACAGTGTATACTGATCAATAATCCATAAAGATACAGTGTATACTGATCAATAATCAATAAAGATACAGTGTATTCTGAGTTGTTTGTAATGAACTGTTCACATTCCTGTGTGTTGACCTTTGACCCTGTGAGGTCAGAATGATCCCAGATGTCACTGTTCTTTGATGAGCCCTCATGTTTCACAGCGTCACCGTGACGATGAGAACCGTCACTGGGATGTTTGGAAATGTTTGAGTTGACTCATCTGTGAGCGAACAAACAGGACGGAACACGTTGATTCACAGAGACTGAACCACAGCTCCAGGTCCTGGTCTTCAGTCTCGCCCCCTCAGTGGAGACCTGGATCCTTTCAGTCCTGGATCACATCAGACTGACAGCTGTTGGAACACAACCAGCTGTGGGAGGATCCCTCAGGGCGGTTTCACAACCATCTGACAGGTCCTGACACTCCCGATGAGGACTACAAGGCCCCAGTATGGACACTGTGGAGGCAGAGAAACAGCACAAACTGGGGACAAACTGGGGACAAACAGTTATTGATCTGACTGACAGCTGCTGTGTGAAACACTATATGTAAACAATAAAGATACAAACAGGAAATGTGTAAAACTGTTTATTGTTATTTATTTAATGAGTTCACTGAACTTCCTGTTGAGTCGATCAATGAAATCAATCATTGATCAGACTTGATGTGTTTGCAGAGAGGAGTGACTGCAGACAGGAATGCAGGAAACTAAAATGCTTCACCTTCAAAATAAAAGCCTCGGAATGTGGGTCTGAGAGAGCTGGTTGTCATAGCAACAGCTCTGTTTCTGTGTGATAATAAAGGATAAACAAATGTGGTGACCTCTGCCGCAGAGGTCAGGTGACATTCAGATGACGTAACTCTGTGTAATGATTATTCATATTTATTATTATTATAACAATGAAAACAGCTGAGTCACAGCCGCAGTGCATTGTTGGAAATGGAGTCATGTCCTGTTTAAAACTTAAAAAGTGATCATAAACTTTAAAATAACATTTCAGAGTATCAGTTATTAAATACATTCCTTATTAAAGTTATTATTAAAGTTA